TTTTGATTTTTTTGTTCTTAAAATTATTTTGTAAAATAGTTATGGAAACGATTATTTTTTGTGTTTTTTTTGTTTTGAAAATTAGAAACCAAAACATAAAACAAAAATAATTCAGACATATTTTCTAAATTTAATTCTAAAAACAAAAGAAACAGTTATAGTTTTTAAAACCTTTTTTACATAACAGGCTTTACCAAACGAGTTGTAGCTCAGGGGAAGGTGAAGAAATATAAATTCAAAATTGAATTAATCAAGTTCGTTAGAACTAAGGGTATCAATTCTTGACCCGACACATTAATACGATACGAAAATTTGTGTTCGGGTTGATGCATATTTAAATTTGTGGTGTATTTGTGTTGGAAAAATATGACACGCAAATGTTCGTGTTGTTTCGAATGTCAACACATAAACACACATTTAACTTATATTTTTTTAAGCTATTTACCGTTTTGACAACATGTACATTCGGTTACACCTTATGATATAAGGATACTTACGCAATGTGATTTTTGTGTCGTGTCAACCCCTACAAAAAGTAATTCATGTTGATGTCAAGAACTCATAAATTTCAATTTGCGTATTTTCTGTATCGTGTTACGTCAACCCTTAGAATTTGAGACCCGTGTTCATATTGAAAGTTATGACATGAATAAAAATTCGTATCGTGCTCGTGTTAATATATTTGATGTTGTGTCGACCTGAATTGACATCTCCTATAACTTCAAATTTGTATCTAGCAAAAAATAAATAAATAAATATTAAATTTGCTCCGTTGTTCTTGTCAAGTTCTTAACTTTGTACAAGAACTAGGCCCAATGAACAAATTAAAAAGTTTTTCATATATCTCTGTTTAGCGAACACTCCCCAAGCCCAGTCATGTAAAAATAGTTTTTCTTTAATTGGACATCTTTAAATTAATATAAATATGGACTCGCGACCAGAAAAAGAAAGAGTAATGGACTTGATTTATATAAGGCTGAAAAGGTCCATTCAACCCACATATCTGTATCTATCTATTAACCATGCAGATATACCATTGAGAACCTTCTCAAATCTTAAACCATTGCTACTTGCTTCCTCCGTTGTTCATGGTTATGTGTCAGTAACCTCCCATTCACTAGTGACTCTTGTGAATTTTTTAACACAAAATGATTCAAAGTTTTTGGAATGACATGTACACACCTCATTTTTTTGGAATAAATTTTGGGTGCAAGGAATGTAGGTACATCCTGCCCAAAAAAAAAAAAAAAAAATTAAGACTTAGTTGGAAATATAAATTAAAAACTGAATTTAAAGGGGAGAAAATTTTTCAATTTTTGAAAAAATATATACTCAAGTGGGTATATCTGCTATACCTAAGAAATTTTTCATTTTTTGATGTAAATTTTTTTCGACCGAGCTTTTTTTTTTACTTTTGCTTTTGTCAAATTTTATTTTTTGTCTTTTATTTTTTATTTTGATTATATTTGATAAAAAAAATTATGTATGATAATATCTTTTATTTTTATTCTGATAATTTGTGATCCATTTGATTGAAGTTAAACGTGTTTTTATGTTATATAAATTTTTAAATTTATGATAATTCCTTTTACTTTTTTCGTTTTAATTTTTAATCCATTTGATAGAGATTAAATTTTATCTTTCTATATTTTTTTAAAGAAATATATAATAGTATCCTTTGCTTTTCTCTTCCTCTTTACTCACTCAATCATCTATCTTCCTCTCTTATCTTCTTCTTATTCAATTTTTTTTCTTTTATTGATTTTAACGAACTATTCACTGAACCATTAAGGCTATACATACAATAATAATTACATAAGAAAAAAAAATGTATTAAGGTTCAGTTTTCTATACTTTATAAAATGTGATTTTTTTAAAAAAAATAAGGGATGAATTTTCTCATAAAGTTCTATATAAATTTTATGAAAAAAAAGTATCTAATGTTACTTTAGACAATTTTATCTAATATTCACCGAAACGACATCGTTTTGAGTAGGGGTGAAATTGGGCCGGGCTGGCCTACAGGGGCCTACGGCTCGGCCTACATCAGGCTAGACCTGAGTTAGTATATTTTGTATAATAGGCTGGGCTCGAGCCTTAATTAAAAAAGCCTGTTTAATAACAAGGTCGTAGGCCCACTTTCAAAAGGTTCGGCCTATAAGCCTACAGGTCGGCCTATATTGTACTATTTATTTTAAATAAAATAAAATATAGTAAGTATGCCTTGAAGAAAAAAAAAGATACAAATTTAATCAATTGTAATTATTTATAACTTAATTATATTCGATTATATTTTAATAGAAATCTTACTTTATTTCTTATATAGGAGGAACCAACATCTCAACATGTTAGATTGTGTATATGAATATATTAAATGCATATTGTATGAGTTCAGTTATGATTCATAATTCTGTTTGGACGTTGAAATTATGATTTTTGGTGTAGCAACAGAATTTGAGTACTTTGCAAAGTTGATTCATGGTTCTGCTTGGAAGTTAAAAATTAACAGGCTAACGAGCCAAGCCATTTGTTTTTTTATAAACGGGCCAAACCAGGCTAACAGTTAGACTCATATTAGGCTTGGGCCAGGCCAAATTGAAATTTTTTGACGTAGGCTTGGGCTTTTCGGGACAAAGCTTGGCCCAGCCCAGCCCAGCCCAGCCCACTTTCACCCCTAATTTTGAGGTTAAAAAATTATATTGATAAACACTATTATAACTCTGAAATAAATTAAAATTACAAATACATCACGATTTTCGCCCCAAAACGACGTCATTTCAGCAAACATTAGATAAAGTTATCTAAAGTAACCTTTAGAAAAAAATGAACCCAAATTTTATTAATGTGATTTTCACAAAAGATGCAATAATGTGAGTTCATATAAATGATGAGAAAAATTTTACATTAGGAATTAATTTGTTATAACCTTAAAATGGGGTGAAAATTTAAGAAATGAATATTCATTTTTTATGATAATATATAAGATTTTATTTTTAAGATATATACATGTTTTAATGTTAAATAATTATTCTCCTATTATAATAAAAAGGTCCTCATAATCCTTAAATCTTTATTACGTTGAAACATATGACTTTTAAAATCACAAGGTAATTATTTAGTAAATATGAATTTTATATGAAAGTGTATTAGTATTTAAATCATGTAGATAAATTAAGTATCACATGAAAAATAGAGACCTTATATAAAAAATAATATATAAAGTACAAAAATAATATTTTTGTTTTATGTTATATATGAATCATATTGGAATATATTTACTACTATAAATAATTATGGAAAAATAAATGTAACTTATCCATTGCACAGATTAAAAAACTAGTTTACTAATTAAAAATAAATCAGTTTATTGCACAAAGGGGCTAATAATTATGGGAAGAGATAGTTTTTTCTCTCTTTTTTTTTATTTCTATGCTCGCTTAGGAATAATTTTAGGGAAAAACTATTCTTATGCTACATGTGATAAATTTCTCTCTTACACACCCTTCGATAACTATGCCACCTTTTCTTTTCTTTTCTTTTTATTTCTCAGGTAGTGGAGCCCACAAGTTTATCTCTATGACATGAGATAACTTATCTTCTTTAATATGAGATTAATAAAATCCATAATTTTAGGCTAAAATAATATGTTTGATAATACATTATACAATATTTGCGTTGAATAAATAGTATGCAATAAAAAAATTGTTATTTTTTGTCAATTTATGTTCTTAAATTATTAGTTTATTATATTATCTGAAATATAAAAATAAATTAATTTTATTAAAGATTATTTCTAGGCTTTATGTTTCCCATACTAAAAAAATATTTTTAAGAATTAGAAGTTCAATTTTTTATTTATTTAGAAATTGTAGTTGATAAGCTGAATTATTATTTTTCTCCTTTTCATAATTTTTGTTTTTTGGCATGTTTTGAATGATTACATGACTTCAACGTAAACCTCTTGCTGGTTGTATAGTTGTGCTAAAGAAATTCCACATTCTGCTTAGGACCTTTTCTCTTCAATTAAACTAAAGAATTGGCTATAAAAAAAAAAAAAAAAAAACTAAAGAATTGGTTAATTTTAAAGAGTTGAAAAGGGATTAATGTTTTCAACAACCTTAGGAGGACATTATAAAACAAAAACAGAAAAATCATACGGTCCATATAATTTCAAGTCATGGCCAAGCATCTATTAAAAAAATCAATCCTGACATTTTATTCTAGACCGATAACAGAGCCGGCCCAATAAAAGTCTCGAGATCATGCTCATCAAAGCGTGCAACACCCTCGTATGTATAACCTACCTACAAATACAGAGATTTTATAGTTACCATCTTCCACAAACTACTCCATCTCACTCCCAAGTCCCATACACACACGAAAGCCAAAAGGGACAATGTACCAGTTCCAAACAACTCCTCACGACCGAAGGAGTCAAAACTATAAATACAGAGATTTTTGTCTTCCCCTTTCAGCATTTTCTCAAGGTTAATTAACTCTTCGCCTTTTATACCCCCCCCCCCCCCCCCCCATTTTTATGTATAATTATACAAAAGTATACCAAATTCATGATTAAATATTATCGCAATATCACTTTAATATGTATGCGAATAATATTTGTGTGTCGCAACTCCGGTTCATTAAAATATTTTCTAGTATCAATTTCTTGAAAAAGACATGCTAATGATTTAAAATTAATGATATCCTTGGATGCACTTAAATTCATTACATGACACCATGTCTTTCTGACTTACCAGTAAGACATAGTATAAAATATAAAAGTTATTTTTATTTTTTTTTCTCAGATATAATACAAATTTGTGGTTCATTTTCATTGGCTCGATATACCTGTGCCTGTAGTACAACAGATTTTCGCCATACATGCATAACCTACATTGGATTTGATCATTCTAAACCATGTTAGTCAAGTGAGAAACGATTATTATTTATCTTCTTGTAAATATAAGTACATATTTCACTTGATTCATATGTAAAACTCTTCTTCCTCACAATATATTGATATCTAGAATTTGGATTCTAAGGTGGTGACCACAATAGGGCTCCTAACCACATGCTTCACGTCCGCCCAAGTAAGATAACCATAAGCTACTTTATTCTCTTTCATCTTATTGGAACCTTTGATCCTCAACTTGTAGCTTAGCTTATCGTTTTTCTTCTTGAACACCAACTTGTTGGGGATGATGCTGACATGGAACCCTTTGATGGGTGTAACTCTAGCAACATAGGTCGTTTGTCCCTCCCCAACATTGGTCACTGTTCTATGAAATTCCTGTGCTATCCCTGAATGGTTGGCATTGAAGAAAGCAATAAAAGAAGGGTAGTTGAGATCCAATGAAGGGTTGGAGCAATTGTTGGAAAAGGATCTCGTGATGGCGGTGATGTTCTTTTTCGTGAAGTTCAGTGCACAGAGAAGGTTCACATAATCTTGTACTCCCACCTCATAAACAAGTCCAGGGTGAAGGGCATTATTGGGATTTACATGACCAGCTCCAAGTGCAAGAGGAGAGGCTGTTTCGTAACCTCTGCCAATGTCTTTGATGAAATCCATTGTGTTGTCGAATATGTCCGAGGTTGTCATGATAGCTGACCTAATAGCCGCAGGGCTCCAATTAGGGTATGTTCCCTTAATAAGGGCAGCTACACCTGCAACATGGGGACATGCCATGGATGTTCCACTTAACAAATTGAAATTGCTAAAGAGTTCATGAGACCCCAAACTTCCCCGTACTAAAACATTTTGAGGCCATGCAGCTAAGATTAATGTACCAGGAGCAGTAATATCCGGTTTCAACACAAATGGACAACTTTGTGATGGTCCTCTCGAACTATACCAATCCACACTCGGTGCTGGTCTTGTACCTAAAACTGTTACCTTATTAAAACACATGCTTGCTTTTGAAGTACCAGATTTATTAGTACTCTTGATGTAACCTTTCACAATCTCTCCATTCATCGGGTTAATAATGATGGATGCAAAACTATTCTGTAAGAAGAGCAAAATCTCAGTGCTGTTTGATATGAACACAGCCGCTACTACTTTTGCCACACCAACATTAGACACTTGATCATAAAGGCTTCTTCCATTCTTGTCTTCACACACCACAATCTTGTTCCTAACTTTGTTCAGTTCCTTAACATTTTCACACAAGCCCATAAAAACAATAGGAACATGACCAGCAGAGAAGTTTCCTGGATACAAAGACAACCCTTTGATTTGTATTCCATTGCCAAGCGTAAGAGAAGCATGAAATTCACGATCCAAAGTGCCAGAAGCTACTGTTATAACCCATGGTATTCCATTATGCAGAGTTTCAAGGTAAGGCCCATGGTTCCCTGCTGAAGTAGACACAAAAATGCCTTTCTCCATGGCTGCAAATGTGGCTATAGCAACGGGGTCATTGTACAATGGTACATCATCAAAGCCAAATGATAATGAAAGAACATCAACACCATCTGAAATTGCACTATCAATTGCAGCTATTACATCTGATGAAAAAGCCCCATCTTCCCATAGGGCCTTGTACATAGCTACCCTGGCACGTGAAGCTATTCCTCTTGCTGTTCCAGCTGCATAGCCAAAGAAAGATGCACCCTCAACTTTGCTTCCTGCTGCGGTGGTTGATGTGTGTGTCCCGTGACCTTCTGTGTCACGGGTAGAGTTCACAGCTATGGTGATGTTGTGGTATTTTGTTAACAATCCTCTGTTGAAGAACCGAGCTCCAATGAGTTTCTTGTTGCAAAGTGATGAGTTGAATTGGATGCTGTTTTCACATTGACCTTTCCATCTTGAAGGTATTTTAGTCAACCCTTCATCTTTGAAGCTTTCACTTTCTGGCCAAACTCCAGTGTCCACCAAACCAACGATTACATCTTTGCCAAAATCAGAAGAAGGCCATGCCCCTGCATTGGGATTGAGGCCAAGGAATTGGGGTGAGTGTGTTGTGTCATGCTTCACAGGCAAATCTATAATGGAGGAAATGTAACCCGTGGTGGTTTTGACAGCTTCAAGCTCTAGAGGTGACAAGTTTGCACAGAAACCATTCATGGCATTGGTGTAGGAATAGACTAGCTTAGAAGGAATAGAGTTAAGATTATTGGTGGTAGTAACTTTAGAATTTCCTAATGCAGATGAAAGAGTTGAGAGGTACCAACTATGTTGATTTGAGAATGCTTTGGGCATGGCTGATAAGTCCATGTGGATGATATAGTTATCAGATCGAGCCAACGTGGAAACGAGTTGTAGGACTGTGATATAGGAGAACCACAGAGAGACACAAATACGGGTAGCCATGATTTTAATGGAATTTTTTGAATGTTTATGGCTATAGAGCACCAATGTTGTAACTTGGGAGTTTAAATAGAGAACCAAGAGATATATTCCTAACCTTACCCCAACAAGATATTCTTCACCCTCAATTTTGCAAAGTTTGTGGACCATAAGGTATCTTTGTATGGGACCTCAGTCCCCATTTGATTAATGAGCTACGTATGCCCGTGCTTTGGACAATTTTTGTCCCATTTTGGACACCTTTGTTTGCAAGACTTATTCATCAAGGGACCACACCTTATGTATGTATGTATAGTGTCCAGAGAAAAAATATATCTGATTCCTTTCCCGCAGAAAATTTATAAAAAGGACCTAAGCTTTGATAATATTTAAAATTTAATGACCAAATGGCCATACACAATCCATATGCTGATATGAATATACCACAGATTAAGAACTTGATCCTTGAATAGTTGGTAAATATCACCTTACTGTCCATAGGTTTTTAATTTTATATATATATGAAATAGTGTGTATGATGTTACGCCTGCAACCCAATGTAAAAAAATTGGGTAAATAGACTTCATATTAGGTTTTTCAAAACGTAATGAGTCTCAAGTTGGTTGGTAATGGACTAAGTGTTGAAATATTCAAGTGTAATAAGTGAGAGGACCCATGAACTCGATACACTAAAGTTTTGGATTGAGACATGATGTTAGACCCACTTGATATAGTGGTATAGCCTTAGCCCATTCGTGGTGGTCCCCCGCTACGGGCTACCCTTGAACCCACCTGACAATGGTATCAGAGCCGGGTTGGACTCGGGCTAGCTAGGAGGCGGGTTGAGTACTTTAGGCCTGGGTATTCGGTTGAGGGGGAGCATACAAATGTTAAGTTTCACACTTGAGGGGGAGATTGTTGGGTTTTTCAAATATGATGATGTCCCACATTGATTGATAATAACCTAAGTGAAGTCCATATAAGTAAGAGGACCCATGAAATCAATGTTTTAAGGTTTTGAATTGAGACATGATGTCAAACCCACTTGATATGGTGGCGTAGCCTTATCTCATTAGTTGGTAATGAACTAAGTGTTGGAATATGCAAGTGTAATAAGTCTCACATTGGTTGGTTGCACTCCATCACACACTTGAATCCCATCAATCGAGTAATCAAGCTCAAAGTACTCAACCAGCTTCCTAGCCAAACACCCGGCTAGTTCGAGTCCAACCTGACTCTAATAATACCATTGTTAGACGGGTCCAGGTGAAGTCCATGGGGGGGACCACCACCAATTGACTAAGGCTACACCAACATATCAAGTGGATATGATACCATGTCACAACCAAAAACCTTAAGGCATTGGATTCATGGGTTCCCTCACTTATCTTATATCCAGTTCACTTAGCCCATTAACAACCAATGTGAGACTCATCACACTTGAATATCACAACAATCTCCCCCTCAAGTGTAAAATCCAACATTGATATGCTCCTCTTGCACAGTGGCTAACCCAAAAAAATTTATTTTTATCTGCACATTTAGTGGTGAGGCTGCCCCTAAATTTTTTTTTTTAAAAATAGGTTTTAAATGCTTTAAAAAATAAAAGAATATAAACAAGAAGGGATTTTTAGCCCTCATGTTACATGAACCAAATTTTTTGTCATGTAAGAAAAAGATAAAATCAATTCATTGAACAGTGTACCCTCTCACTTTCTTTAATATTATGTAACGTGCCTTTTTCTTAACATGACAAAAAAAAAATTCATATAACTTGAGGGATACAATCCCCAAACAAGAAGAAATTTTTTTTAAATTAACATTAAAAAAATAGTAATCAACTTAATGATATAAAAACACTAAAACATAAGCAGTGAATAAGATGTGTTTGCTTGCATTCATGACAATACAGCCACTAAAATTTCTCCATGAGTGACATTTCTAATTAATTAAAAAATGTATCTCTTCTTCACTAAAAAAAATTGTATCTTCAAATTTATGTCTACACTTGCAAATATTGGCAAATGAGTAGGTCTGCCAATGCTTTTGTACTCACTCGGTCATCGTCACTCTCGGCATCCCTTGTCCTCTTCTTATCTTTTCAAGTCTTTTATCTTGTGTTGAGATCACGGCCAGTATACCAGTCATACAATTAATAAAGTGGTAAAGAATGGGTTGTTGTTCTCACGAAAATTGATGTACCAAGCACTAATTTATCTACGCGACCAATGTTGGATCTATCTTTAAGGTTTTTGAAAATATGATTTAAATTATAAAAATAGAATTTTAAAAATAATATTTTTAATTTTCAAAATTTAGAACCAAGAACAATAATCAAGAACATAACTAAATCAAACATGCAAAAGTGTAGTTAGGGTGTTGATTTCCCCAATTTCATCCTAATGAATCTATTATTTCCTATAACTAACATTCAATTAATACCATTGACAATTCTTTCATAATTAATTAAACCTCAATTTCTTAGTGATTCAATCATTTACCCTATTCAAAATCCTAATACCTTAATGATCTCTCTAAGGGCAAGCATTAAGAACAATAATTATGTGTCATAGATTTCGTAAGTCTATTCTTAGATCATACAAAAGCTAACAATTAATCAGATCAGAATCATACACCAACATCCCTATTGTCATGCAAGATTCATGTGTTTATATATAAGTGATCAGTTCATAAATAAACTAGGAGTAGGAAAATAGATTAATTGCATTTGCATAACATAGAATTGAATATCGAATTACAGGAGAGAAATAAATATCACTAGGAATTCATAGATTCCATATAACCCTAATTACAAAGAAACCTAGCCTAACATAGTCAAGGAAACTAAAAAAACCGATAAGAAATTAAAGAAAAGCAAAATAAGAACTTATAACCCGTTCTTCACGGCGAAGCTTTGTTCTTCCGCCTCCTCCGCTTCAGAACTAAGCTCCTTTGCCTCTCCCCTCTTTTTTTCCGTCCTAGAATGAATAGAAACAACCCTAGTCGTGCCTTTTAAAATATAAAGGTCCATGAGCTTTTTTAATTTATGGACTTCTCGCTGGGATGCTCACTCAAGCGAGCAAGCCTGCAAGGAAATTCAATGTGCTCGCTGGGATGCTCGCTTAAGTGAGCATACCTGCTAGGAAACACGATCCGTTCGCTAACTTGCTCGCTGAAGCGAGCATGTTAGCGAGGATGAGGCTTTTTCGACTCTTGATTTTGCTTGAGTTTTGGCTTGATTCTTGACTTCTTCAACTTCATTGATCCTTCAAAACTTTAATTCAACACTTCAAACCTGGAAATGATATATTTTTAAGTCAGAATTATACTCAATCATATCATCTCAAGAGTCTCTTGCAGTTGACAAAATGTGTTATGTTCCCAACCATTTACAATGACATTTCTAAAAATAAGGTGTGTTTGACACCTAACATCTTACAAAGTATACAAAATGTTATGGTAAATTATATATAAAAATTCGTTACTAAAAAATAAAATAAAATATACTTCCAAACATATCCAATTTTTTATGGGTCCGTCGAATGTCCTGCAAAAAAAAATAATTATGTATTACAAATAGTATATAGTTATTTTTGTATACCCCTTATAACTATGTATTATGGGTACTACATAATTATAATATTAAAGTTTTTCCATACCTCGTATAACTATGTACTACTCGTAATACATAGTTATTTTTTTGTTGTATGAAGTCCTGCAATATAATTCTTATATTTCCCATTTTTTATATATAGATATTGAATCTGAAAGCCACCGAATTTGTAGTTCAATTGGAACTAATCCAATTATCTGAGGATAGGGTTTGATGTTGAAGTTAGTTTTATTTCTAGCCATAATTTCTATCCTCCACCAAAGAAGTAATAATAACTATAATAAACTTCACTGTTACGTTTGAAATAAAAGAAAGGGAATCAACATCGAAACCCCACTCCTAGCATGTATCCACAGTCACACAATATATCTCGCTCTGAATTGACTTGAAAGGTTATGTAAATGCATGCGTGAAGCAAATGAAGTTGAGCATATGCCGGACTGCGCCTTGTAACTTTCAGGCAGGTTCCACACTCTTAATTTGTATATATGGGCAAAATAAACTTATATTAATGTAAGAATTATTAAGTATTAAACTCAATCTTATCCGTTAATATTCGTACATCAAATATTTGTAATTTATAGGTTTATATCTTTAATTAATAATTAATTTCCAAAAAATTACAACTATTTCATGCACGAAAATTAACGGCTAAGATTGAGTCTAAGATTTATTATTGTTAATCCAGTGTAAGTTGTACTTGTCTTTTATATATATATAGGTTTACATTACTGCAGCTGTTATACGTGCAGCAGTCAAATATTTGTCATATATATACATGAAAGTATTAAATGTGGAGAATCTTGATCATACAAAACATGAAAGCATTAAATATAGAAAATCATAATCATGCACTTGTCATTGTTGTACGTAAAGCAGCTGTAAAAATAATTTTACCATATATATGTGTGTGTGTGTGAGTTAGGATCATTTATTACACCGTGTAAATTACATTCGCAGTGGTCGCTGATATTATTTATATATAATGACTCTGATTTATTAAATATATGAGTCATTAGATTTAAACAAATCATTATATAATGACGCTGATATTATTTACATCTAGTGACTCACATATTTAATACATCAAAGTCATTATATAAAAATAATATCAACGGCCATTGCAAATGTAACTTACATCGGTGTAAAATAATCTTAACTTATATATATATATGATTAATTATTTGTCATGACATTTGATTGTCATGTCTTCCAAAACTACGCCGTTTTGGATATTTATTTTTCTTATTTAATTGATCGGAAATGGATATTATATTTCTCTCTCTCTTCTTTTATTATCATTGATCCACCTTTGTATGGTTATGATTTCCTGACCAGACAAATCCTTATGTCAAGTGACTTCACATCCGATTAACCTATATATATATATATATATAATATATATATATAT